GCAGGAAACCCTATACCATTTCAGACAAATGGCTGTCCAGTCTCTTCTTAAAAACTTCCAGTGTTGGAGCATTCACCGCTTCTGGAGGCAGGTTGTTCCACTGGTTAATTGTTCTCACTGTCAGGAAGTTTCTCCTTAGTTCTAGGTTGCTTCTCTCCTTGATTAGTTTCCATCCGTTGCTTCTTGTCCTGCCTCCAGGCGCTTTGGAGAATAGCTTGACTCCCTCTTCTTTATGGCAGCCCCTGAGATATTGGAACACTGCTATCATGTCCCCCCTCGTCCTTCTCTTCGTTAAACTAGACATACCCAATTCCAGCAGCCTTTCCTTATATGCTTTAGCCTCCAGTCCCCTAATCATCTTTGTTGCTCTTCTCTGTACTCTTTCTAGAGTCTCAGCTTCTTTTTTACATCATAATGACCAAAACTGGATGCAGTATTCCAAGTGTGGCCTTACCAAGGATTGCAAACAGAAGCACAGATTGATTGAGGGTTCCAGAGGTCCAATATCCTGTGGAGGAAACCGATGGTGTTTAGAAGGGAAAATAGAAGGTTAAGAAGAGGGAACAATTTCCAAATATAGAAAAGGTGTTCTTTGTTGCTCTAAGGAGCTGGATTTTAAATATTAGGTGGAAATGATAGAAAAGCAGGTTTTTACTCATTTTTAATTCCTCTTCAAGAATAGAAGAGAGTGTTCTAGACTGGGATATTTCAAACAAAAGTAGACAATGTTCTTCCAATTTAAATGTCTCTTGAATGGAGGGAACTTCGATAGACAAATTAAATCTCTACCTTCCACTATTAACATTCTATGCAAACACTTAAAAATGGCATCTTCTGCCTGGAAAACCTATTTGCTTGCTCAGAAAAGGGGAGAACATACAAATAAGTAATACTTAGACTCCCTTACTTTTAAAAAAGCTGTAAAAGGAGGCCACGATTAAGGTTTTTAAGAAAGTTGTAGCAAGGAATTAGACCAATTCTTGGAAGGTAAATCTTTCAGAGGGTTAAAGCCATAGAATGCTTCTCATTATTTTCCTTCATGCTTTTTGGCTTAACTGAGCCGCTATACAAGTGTACAAATCAAAAACAGGAACAGCCATTCTGGCCCTGATAACTACAAATCATCCATTTCCAAAGGCCTTCCAAAACCAATTTAAGTTTTTATCTTTTGCCACCCTCGCTTTGTGGGGCTGGCTGTTCCAAAAGAGGGGAACCTGCATTGGAATTGTTACACTTACTAGTCTGTCTCTCAGAGGAATCAGTTCCTATTTATAAGAACAGGATTTAAACTAGATGGATCTTCGGTCTTCTTCAGAACGCTTCCTCTTGTATTCAAAAATTCTAAGATTCAATATTCCCTAAGTAGTACCACAAAAAAATGCAATTCATTGTCACAAACTGCTACCAATCATTGTATATTTACATGAGAATAAAGACCGAGAGGCTGGAGTACTACAGGTAGTCCTCGACTTACAACAGTTCGTTTAGTGAGCGTTCAAAGTTACAACGGCACTGAAGAAAGCGATTTATGACTATTTTTTACACAACCGTTGGAGCGTTTCCCATGGTCACATGATTAAAATTCAGCCGCTTGGCCACTGACTCATATTTATGACGGTTGCTGTGTCCTGGGGTCATGTGACCTCCTTTTGTGACTTTCTAAGAAGCAGAGTCAATGGGGAAGCCAGATTCACTGAACAACTGTGTTACTAACTTAACAACTGCAATTATTCACTTAACAACCATGGCAAGAAACATTGTAAAATGGGGCAAAACTCACTTAACAACTGTCTCACTTAGTAAAATGTTGGACTCAATTGTTGTCATAAATCCAGGATTGCCTGTACTGCTTTAATCTAGTGTCTCTCCAGCTGGTTTGGGAAGCACAGATTATATTTTGAGGGAAAGTTGTAGGCATGCATGTTTCTAGATCAGTTGATACCCACAAGACATGATGTGGACATCTCTCAGATTCTCTGCAACTTGGGACTTCTCACTCCCCCCCCCCCCCCGGCCCCAGCATATTTGGAGAACATGAAGCTGGAAAACTGTTTTAGGTAACAGAACCAGGCATTTAGTTTTCTCAGAAACAGAGAGCATATTTCCAACCTTTAATCTGCTTTCTGACCAACGTCTGACTAGATCAGGGGTAGGCAACTTTGGCTCTTTTATGACATGTGGACTCCAACTCCCAGAAATCCTGAGCCAGTCACGCTGGCTCAGGAATTCTGGGAGTTGAAGTTCACAAGTCATAAAAAGAGCCAAGGTTGCCTACCCCTGGATTAGATCATTTTGCTAGCTATTTGAAATGAGTTGTTTCCTTTAAGGTACAAACAAAAATACACTTGTTATCACTGTTCATTAGAAAAATTGAAGAAGAGGGGATCTAATGGCCATAAACCTTCTGTGACTCACCTCACCTTACCATCCAGTTGAATCCCAAAACAGAGAAACATGATGCAAAAGACATTTAGAAGGAAAGTGACATATAATAGCAGTTCTAAGTCTCTGTAAGCATTGGGACAGCTAATGGGATAAGAAGGTATAAACTGTTGTGAAATAAATGCATTTCTGACGTATACTGCCCAGATTAGGGTACTCTGAAATGCTACTAATAGCTCAGAGTCATTTGGAGCCTTGTGACATAAACATTCAATACTTTTTCTGAATTTACATACTGTTTATTTATTGTAATAAGTTTCACCCATTCTTAGACAGAGGTGCAAAAAGTACAATTTTTTTCAAACACATCTGGGCCAAGGCATGTCATTTTAGTCTTAACTTTATAAAGATTTTAAAAAATATTTTTATCTTTTATTCAGAAATATAACTTCTGTGGTTTAACTCCAAGTAACCAAAGTAACATATATTTAAACATCATAGCTGGATACCTTCTATTATTAAAACCAAGGAGATGGAATTGATCCAGACGTTACAAGGAATTGCCCCAAAGCACCTCATTTTCCAGGAGCAGCGTACGAATTTACACTGCTAAGATCAAATTAAAATATTCACAAACATTTTTTTTTCCTTACAACTCCAGAAAGGGTGATGATGCTGTTGGCAGCTTGGCTCTTTTGGAAGCCATCCCAGATGACACGAATTAGGAGAGGGAAATTGTTCCTGACGTCACAGGTAGGAAGTTCCGAGCGTGTTACGGCAATTGAGTCCTCCACTATCAAAATACTAGAGCAGACCAGTTTTAATTCTGCCAGCTGCAATCCAGAAGCAGATTCCCCTCCCCCTGCAACTTTCAAAACACATTTCCCGGAAGATGATCAAAACAGTCCCATCTGTCCCCAAAATTCAGTCAGTCCCTTTCTTCTTTCCCTTGCGCTGCTGCTTTTTCTTCTTCATGTGGCCATGTGGCCCTGCAGCTCCTTTCGCTTTTCCTGGGGACTGAGCCGTCTTCTTTGCTGGAGGACCCTGCTCAAACGTTTCCCCCTCGCCCTGTTCTGCCACTCGCTTCTTCTTCTTCCTCTTCCTTTTTTTCTTCTTTCCTTCTGAGGGACCCTCGGCCTCACCAACAGCAGGGATTCTGCTGCTGCTGCTCTCAGGGCCTTTCTCCTGGGGCTGACCGAACTGGGCCTTCTTGCGGTTCTGACGTTTTTTGGTGGCTGGCAGGAAGCCCTTTTTCTTCCGCTTTAGGGGCTCAACCACAGTTCCGTTTGCAGGCCGAACCGAGACTTTCTCCTTCACAGGCCGCCTGTAAATCAAGAATAGGAAAGGACCTATGACACCCAACGCTTTTTCTTAATCCAATCGCAGCGACTTTTAAGATGTGTGGGCTTTCACTCCCAGAATTCCCCTACATGGATGGCCAGGGAATTCTGGGAACTTTTTTTTTTAAATAAATATTTTATTAATTTTCTATTTTACAAACAAGTGTTTAATAGACAACGTGTTGACTCGGTCCATCAATAATTCCGTGGTAGATACAAGCTTCTTCAAACTAAATCCAATATTACACCATCCAATACCTCCTCTCTTCTACCGGTAATAAACATTTTTCCACATTAAGCAAATAGGATACATTTCTTATTGTTATTAATAGATAGACAGTTGAATATCAGCATATATTACAGTTTTCTAATACTATCAATGATATCAGTTTAAAAGATCTTTTCTAGCCAAAACATAACTTAATTGCATTTGCACTCAATATCCATTTATGCAGTAAGAAACCTATTTAAGTCCACACAACTTAAAAGTGGTTGAGAAACACTGTCCTAATCCAATGCCTTTCCCATGTTAAACTACAACTCCCATCAATCACACCAACAGGCATCAATTAACCTTTCCTTTTTAAGACCATCCATGAAGTAGCAAGAAATAAAAATTAGAAATTGAGCATTTAGCATTTACTCTGATAAAATGGGTCAAAGGGTTATGTTAGGGCAGTGATGGCAAACCTTTTAGAGACCGAGTGCCCAAAAACTGCCCCCGCTCCACCCCCTGCCCCGCCCGTGCCCTGTCCCCCCATCCCCCACCCCACCTGCCCACAGGGCCACTCACTGCCTCCAGGGCCCATTGCACATCACCCAGGCAGCCCAGCAGCACCATGGCGGCCACGCCCTCTGCCCGCGCCCCGCAGCATCAACTGTGCAGGATGGGGCATGAGGGCAGAGTCTTGTCTATGCTTCCTGGCTGCCATGTCCTTGGCTGCGCTGCTCCGTGTGGGCCACACTCGGGGGCGACTCTCCTCCAGGGGGGCTGCTGGTGAGGAGGGGGTCGTGGGGGAAGGCGAGTCTGGGGCAACGGCACGTGTGCCCACAGAGAGGGCTCCGAGTGCCGCCTCTGGCACCTGTGCCATAGGTTCGCCACCACTGTATTAGGGGAACTGGTGAGGGGGAGAAATGTTAAGGGCCACCATCAGCAGGGGTACAATCAAAGGGGGTCGGGTTGCAAGTTTTCTTTTATTCACGAAGTCAAGCCTTTTGTGAACTGTGCTAATTACCAAATTCATTTTCCAAGCCTGATCAGGAGGGCTAATGGGTTGCGTGGGGCACGCAGCTTCCCTGTCTCTCTCATTCTCTCTCTCTCTCTCTCACTCTGTATGTGTGTGTGTGTGTGTGCGCGCGCGCGCTGTGTTGACTCCTGGCAATTGCTCTAACTCCTGAAATTTTTTTGGCATAATTTTGGAAATGGTTGCCCTTGTCTTCTTCCTTGAGCCGAGAGAGAGTAACAGGCCCAAGGTCACCCAGCTGATTTGGTGCCGAAGGTGGGACTAGAATTCATGGTCTCCTGGTTTCTAGCATGATAACCTTAACCACAACACCGAAGTGGCTTTGTAACTTACTTAAATCCCAGGAGTTTCATAACATTCCAGTAGATGTTGTCAAGTTGTATGGACTTCTCAAAATGTTCCTGTTGACCCAGAGTCTGGAGTACACCACGAAGCTCAGTCAGATCTAGGCTGAATGCCTGAAAAGTAAATAAAACAAAAGAATACTAGAAGTGCATTCAATAAAGAAGTTGTTTAAAGTGATAGGTGCAGAAAGCAGAATTGCTCTCTTTCCCCAACAAATTCATTGAGAAAGGGATATGAATGAATGTTTCACAGTTTTATTTCATTCATTCAGTCACTCAATCAATGAATGGCTTATTGTATGTGTGGTCCCAGTAGGGACGAGGCAGTCTGATTCCTGGATTCACAATTCAGTACTTGCCATCAAAACAAGCATGTTCATAGTATAGGATTTTATCGGAATTAGTGGATTTGGATTAGTTCTTGGGATCAGCTGGCTGAATGCTCCACTAGGTGACAAAGCAGCATTCTTCTAGGGACCTTCTAGTCAGGATCTAGGCCAACATCCGCAAACCTGGTGCCAGGCTGCTAATGTACACATAATTACATATCTTGATGCCTGTTGGCTCTCTGCTGGACACCAGCCGCTAGCATTTTTCACTTCTGAGAATGCCTCTGGAGCCTTTTAAGTTTCTTAGAAAATCAAAGTAGTGGGAAATTGCAGGCCAGTGCTTTCTTTAGAAATGGGTACACCTGCTCTGAAAAAGAAATACAGAAACTTGGTAGGAGAGAGCATCCCACAGAAAGGAGCAAGACTGAAAGTGGCTGGCAGGTGACCTGTGTGTAAATGAGTGCTTTTTTTGTTTTGTTTTGTTCTCAAATTTTTATTAATTTTCAAATAAACAAATTCTAAATACAAATATGGTGTACATTAATTAAAAAAAACATATTAAACATAACCATATTTTCAGAGGTGCTTGGCAGCCCCCCCCCCTGCATCCGCCCTCTCTTTCACCCTTCCTACCTACTTCCCTCCTCCTCTCCTCCCCTCCTACCTGCAGCTCCTCCTCTCTTTCAACTACCCTACACATCCCACCTCCTTCCTTTCCTCATCCTTCGGATGCAGTTTGAGGATGCTAATCGAGCACCTCCTCTTTAAAAAAATAAAAAAATAAAATACATTATTCTATAACATATTAATACACCAAATTTTGATGCATTCATGCTTTGATACATTTGTCATTCATGCTTTGATACATTCCCCACAGCAGCCATTTGATCAGCTTGCCCGCTACAGGTTCTCAAATTCTAAATGCGTCCCAAAAAATTGAGGGTGCCTCAATGCTTAGATGTACCAATCTAAATGCTTAGATGTACCAATTGTGCTACTTGTTTTTACATGCTCACGCACAACTACTGCATGAATATTGATCCAGAGTTAATTCAATGCAGGTGGCCTAGCATTTAAGAGTCTGGGCTTGTCGACTGGAAGGTTGGCAGTTCAAAACCCAAGTACTGCATGATGGGGTGAGTTCCTGTCCTCGCCCCAGCTCCTGCCAGCCTAGCAGTTTGAAAGCATGCAAATAGGTACCATTTCAGTAGGAAGGTAACAGCGTTTTGTGTGCCTCGGCATATAGTCGTGCTGGCCATATGACCACAGAAAATGTTTTCGGACAATGCTTCCTCAACTAGGAAATGGAGATAAGTACCACCCCCTAGAGTCAGACATGACCGGGAAAACATTTACCTTTTTTAAAATGCATACTTTAGAGTTCTTGGTGCTCTCTAAGCTTGGCTGTTTAGTTGCAAATGTTTCATTGCCCAACTAGGTAACATCATCAGTGCAAGAGTCTGTAAGCTAATGATATGTCTGCAAAGAAACCATGCTCAGAGAGCACCAAAACTCTATAGCTCAACTCCGAGCTACATACATTCTCCTCTTCTGGTTTTATTTTAGTCCAAGGAGTACCGATTTGACTATCACAATTAAACAAACAAAAAATAGGACCATGACTTTTAAGTGCAAGAAGAAGTATGTGAACAACGAATATAAACTGGGAAATACTGGCATCCCAAAGAAGATCCAGGTAGTTAAGAGTGACCCACATACCTGCTGAGTCACTATTTTGATAAGGCAGCTCAACAGCTCCAGACACTTGATGACTTTCTCCCGGTCCACTTTAACTTTGAATTCATCCACTTTCTTCAGTGTCTATTTTTTTTTTTTTAAGAGAGAAATTATAACCAAGAAAATCATGAGAATGATTCCTTCCTCCTACAGACCCTTTTATCTCTGCATCATTCCTGTAAAACAAAATAAGGCTCCAACAACTTTATGAAAATATGAAGGTTCTTCATGCCAAGTTAGATTGCTGGCCTAACAAAAAAAAAACATTGGCAAAGACAGGAACTAAATTGAGTCTAGAGCTGGATTCCTCTCTCCCATACCTGAACTTTTTGGCAGGTTTCCTAATGAATGAGACTGGACTTCAAAAATACAAGATCTTTGAGTCTCTGAAAGTCCACCCCTTGCTATGTTCCACCTATCCTCCCTCTGTACAGGCTCTATTCTTTCTTGAGAAGTTTCCTTTTTCATCATCTATTGTTCATTCTTCTTAATCAAAGAATGGAACGTTCTATATCTGTTCTATCATCGAGTTATAATGATCTTTCCTTATCTGAAGAACAAGGATACTTGATCATGTTGGTAATCCACTGTACAGGGCTACTTTTTCAAAAAGCGAAAAATGATGTTGCATCTTCAAAGGATCTACTAGTACCATTTCTGCTTAGACACATACAGGTAGTCCTCGACTTAACAGTTCATTTAGTGACGTATGAATTTGGATCACGTGGCCATGAGGACGGTCTTAAAGTGTGAAAAACAGTCATAAATCACTTTTTCCAGTGCCACTGTAACTTTGAACAGTCATTAAACAAATGGTTATGAATAAAGGAGGGGGGTCTTTGCCCCGAGAGGCTTAGAAGCCAAAATTCAATGCGGGGAGTCATAGGAAGGAGAAGTGTGTTCAGAGTAGGAAAAAAAAATAAGATGCATTAAAGGAGAAAAAAAACAATGTGCATAAAACACTAAAAGCCTTTTTAGAACAGAGCTCCCATCAGAGACAGTCAGGCTGGCTAATAAACAAGGAGGAAGAAAATTACAATGCAAAAACATCTGAAGGATGGGGAAAAGCTGGTTTTACTGCTATTTTTATATACTGAACAAGCTCTTCACTCCAATTTCTCCCTCACATATGAGAGCTGTTCTCTCCACGAGACCTAATTTCACATCTTATTGAACTTTGCCTGGCAGTTTTGGAAGGATTCGCAAACGCGAAGGGACTCTGGCCAATTCATGTGTCTTCTGGAGCCCCCATTTGCCAGTCTGGAATCCTTAAAGAATAATTGTGCAGATTCACAATGGAAACGCCTCTCTGATGCTAACATTTGGCTGCCCTTGGAGCCATCCCTGTGCTGCCTAGTGCCTCCTGGTACGCCCCTGGGATGCTGTGGGAAGGCCTTCCCTGAGCAAAGGAGGATGCCTGGTACCATCTGTAAACCAACAGCTTGTGGGACCTGTCAGTTTTGCTGGAATGCAGCCTTAAGTCTGCAAGCAGGTTATTCCTGGGCTGAGTGATATGAGAAGAACAAGCCTTCCCATTTGGGCCAAGAGATTCTGACAGCAAAAATCTAAACAGAACAAAAGATCAAGATCACACAAAGTACTAGTACCACTTTATAAAGCCCTAGGCCTAGTAAGACCACACCTCAAATACTGCAGCCAATTTTGGTCACCATATCACAAAAAAGATGTTGAGAGTCTGGAAAAAAATTCAGAGAAGAGCAACTAAGATGATCAAAGGCCTGGAGACCAAAACGTACGAAGAACGGCTGCGGAACTTGGGTCTGGCCAGTCTAAAGAAAAGAAGAAATAGGGGAGACATGATAGCAAGCAGTATTCCAGTATCTGAGGGGCTGCCACAAAGAAGATGGGGTCAGGTTGTTCACCAGAGCACCAGAGAGAAGGACGAGAAACAATGGTTGGAAGCTGATCAAAGGGAGGAATTAAGGAGAAACTTCCTGACAGTGAGGACAATCAACCAGTGGAACAGCTCACCTCCAGAAATCGTGGGCCCTCCATCGCTGGAAGTTTTTAAAAAGAGATTGGACAATCACCTGTCTGAGATGGTAGAGGTCCTCCTGCTTGAGCAGGGGGTTGGACTAGAAGACCTCCAAGGTCCCTTCCAGCTTTATTCTATTCTATTCTATTCTATTCTATTCTATTCTATTCTATTCTATTCTATTCTATTCTATTCTATTCTATTCTATTCTAGTCTAGTCTAGTCTAGTCTAGTCTAAAATCAAATCGCGGCTGCTAGTCTATTCTATTCAAATCTAGTCTAGTCAAATCTAGTCTAGTCTATTCAAATCGCGGCTGCTATTCTATTCTATTCTATTCTATTCTATTTTCTATTCTATTCTATTCTATTTTCTATTCTATTCTATTCTATTTTCTATTCTATTCTATTCTATTCTATTTTCTATTCTATTCTATTCTATTCTATTCTATTCTATTCTATTCTATTCTATTCTATTCTAGTCTAGTCTAGTCTAGTCTAGTCTAGTCTAGTCTAAAATCAAATCGCGGCTGCTGTCCTCCCCACCAGATCAACGCTGCATTTGGCAACAGTCACAGCAGCCTCCACTGGGGTGAGATAATAAGAGGGGCCCTTTATTCACCAATACAGGTAGTCCTCGACTTACAATAGTTTGTTTAGTAACCCTTCGAAGTTACTGGAAAAAAAAGTGACATGATCATTTTTTTCACTCTTACGACCACGGCAGCATCCCCATGGTCACGTGATTTACATTCGGATGCTTGGCAGCTGGTTCACATTCATGACGGTTGCAGTGCCCCGGGGTTACCTGATCCCCTTTTGCAATCTTCTGGAAAGCAACGTCAAAGGGGAAGCCAGATTCACTGAACCGCCGTGTTACTAATTTAACAACTGCGGTGATTCACTTAGCACAGGGGTAGGCAACCTTGGATCTTTTATGACTCGTGGACTTCAACTCCCAGAATTCCTGAGCCAGCCATACTGAGGGGAAAAAGAGAGGTTTCCAAGCTGAGCCATGCTGGCTCAGGAATTCTGGGAGTTGAAGTCCACGAGTCATAAAAGAGCCAAGGTTGCCTACCCCTGACTTAGCAAATGTGGCAAGAAAAGTCACAAAATGGGAGAAAAGTCACCGAACAAATTTCTCACTTAGGAACATAAATTCTGGGCTCAATTGTGGTTGTAAGTCGAGGACTACCTGTAAAGGCTCAGTTAGGTGTACATCACCATTCCCCCCCCTCCAAATACTGTAGGTTCGGACTGCAACTCCAGGAATTTGCAGCCAATATGGCCTCGATATCTTTAGGGGCACCAGACTGAAAAAGGCTGATTACACATTCCTAGATGAACATTTTTTTTAATACTGTTATCCGCTTCCATTCTCGTCTCACCTCCTTCCCTCTTCCCACTTGATAGAGATATAGGCACATGCACACAAACACATCCACTGTCTGCCTTATTTCTGGTTCTCACAAGAGCGATTGCCTTAAATAGGGCACACCCTGCAGCGTTTTCCTAAGGCTTTTTTAAAATTCAGTACATACTGCACAACATCAAGTCTTCAGGGTTTTAAATAATCAGTCAGAGAAGTCTGAAGTTAATTTCCTTCAGGCATATTTTTCAAACGGTTACCCTTTGTTTATGATCCAAGACCAATAATAATAAAATATATATCAAATGCTATATATTTGATATATAATCTCTACAAATTGTATTTATATATTTACACACACACACACACACACACACACACACACACACACACACAGAGGGGGGGAGGTAGTCCTCAACCTACGACCATGTGTTCAACAGCAGTCCAAAGTTATGACACTCTTGCATTAAGACTGTACCTGGTTGTAAATTGGAAAACTACACCCGTGTGTGTGTGTGTGTGTGTGTGTGCATGTGTGTGTGTGTGTGTGTGCAGTCACCACTGCAGTCATGTGATTGCAATCTGGTTGCTTGGCAATCAGCCCACATTTACAACCAATTGCAGTGTCCTGCTGTCCTGTGAATGTGATTTGCAATTATTATTATTTTTTTGCTGGTTTTTGGCAAAAACATCCTTTGAAAAAGCTGGATTTTCTTAACCACATGATTCATTTATTGACCTTGGTGATTTGCTTTATGGCTATTGTAAAAATGGTCGTAAAATCGGATCCAATCAAGTGATGACTCAACTTATAACGTCAATGACTTACAATAGACAGACCTGTCCCTATTGTGGTTGTAAGCTGAGGACTCCCTCCCTCCCTCCCCCACCCTCTCACTTTGTATATAAATGAATTAGAAGTTAGAAGACATGTCTGAAATAGTTAGAAGATCATAAACAAGTTAGCAAACCTCAGCTATTGATAAACATTTTGCACCCTCTTTGGAGGTATCTAGAAACTGGTGACATAAAAGGAGGGCTGTAATCTCACAATCCTTCTTTCCTTCCTTCCTTCCTTCCTTCCTTCCTTCCTTCCTTCCTTCCTTCCTCACAATTTGTTCTTTCTTGCTTGCTTGCCTTTGAGGGAGTGTTCACTCTTGGAAACTATCCAGACAAGTCCCTGCAATTTTCTCAGCAAAATTTCTGAAGTAGCTTGTCACTGCCTACTTCTTAGAGCAGCGGTTCTCAACCTATGGGTCGCGACCCCATTTGGGGTCGATCGACCATTTCACGTGGGTCGCCAAGCAAGGCTGTCCGCCATTTTTTTTGTCCATTTTCCCCCCCTTTTCCGGCAGGTGCCTTGCCTTCCTTGGGCTGGGCCAGCTGGTGGTCGGCCTGCTCCGTCTCTGCCACTTGCCAGCTACGCCTCAGCCGGCGCAGGGGGCGGAACCATGCATGCGCGGTGCTCCCGGGCAGGGAAAGTCCTCGACTTACGACCAGTTGGGTAGTCCTCGACTTACGACCAGTTTAGTCCTCGACTTACGACCGGTTTGGTCCTCGACTTACGACCGGTTTAGTCCTCAACTTACGACCGGTTGGGGGTCGCGGCATTAAAAAGGTTGAGAACCACTGTCTTAGAGCTAAGGAAAAATGACTGGTCCCAGATTACCCAGCTGGCTTCTTGCTTAAGGCAGAATTAGAACCCACAGTTTTCAGCCTGATGCTGTAACCACTACACCAAACTGGCTTTCCAAATTTTCTTACAGTTACATATTCTGACAATTAGTAATGTGAGATTCAAGAGACTGGTATATCTACCTATTGTCAACGTTATGGATAGTGCATCAATTTGGGTCAGGGGGAAAAGTCTCTTGCACAAAACATGTAAAGTGTTAAAAATTACCTACAGACAATCAGGGAAGGGTGGGAAGAAACTGCACTGTGGCAAAGATTGGAAATTTAGTTTGAATGTCTTGATTCCAAATCCTGTCCTTAAATTTGGCCAAGGTTTTTTTTTTTTTTTATCACAACTGAAGTCAGATATTGCTGGAGCAGTAAAGCTGCAATATGTCAAATATTTCCCACCTGAAGCAATGGCTACACATTTAACTTTAGGAAAAAAGAAAAAAGAAATCTCCTACGGATTCATAATTTCAAAGTCGAATTCAATTTGGAGAAACAGAAGTGTCATTCATTCATTTAGTCCAGTGATGGCGAACCTTTTAGAGACTGAGTGCCCAAATTGCAACCCAAAACCCACTTATGCATCGTCAGGTGCCGGGTGGGTGTGGCCCATTGGCTGGGCGTGGCCCATTGGCTGGGCGTGGCTGCAGTGGTAACGGCAGACTGAGTGGGTTCTAAAAAGTTCAAATCAATCAATTCCAACTTTGCAAGATTTTTTTTTCCCGCAAGAAGTTGAAATTGACTGATTGACTGAACCTTTTTTTTTTTTTTTGCGCACAGCGGTGGAGGCCTAAAGCAAAACGGTTTTATAAAACCCAGTTGAAGGCCTAGGACTGGGGCAACGGCGTGCATGCCCACAGAGAGGGCTCTGAGTGCCGCCTCTAGCACCCGTGCCATAGGTTCGCCACCACTGATTTAGTCTAAGACAGGGGTGTCAAACTCCAAACGTCACGTGACGTGTCGCGACGTATCGTGACTTTTTTTTGCCATTGCCGGCAATGGGGTGGGCACGGTTTTGCCATGACGCATCCAGCCCGCAGGCCGGCAGTTTGACACCCCTGGTCTAAGACGTTGTCTCTCAACTTTGGCAACTTTAAGAGGTGTGCACTTCAACATACTAGGTGGAGAATTCTGGGAGACGAAGTCCAAACATCTTAAAGTTGCCAAAGGATGAGAAACACTGGTCTAATCAAATGCTTGCAATACCACTGATCTGTAAGTGGAATCCCACTGTAGTTCATTCGAATTCAGTATAAGTAACTCTGATGTAACTGCATGGAGATACTGAACTAAGTGAATACTATTTTAGATAAGCATTGCACATTCTCTCATTATGTATTTCCTCTTCCGTTGGCCTAGCTTCTTCTTCGCTTTGTCTCTTTACTATGTAATGCCTATACAGGTAGTCCTTGACTTACAACTGGCCACTTAATGATCACCCAAAGTTACAAAGGGCTGGACAGTTCCTTGGAGAAGGTATGCTGTTAACAAAAGAGGAATTAAGTCTGGGTAAACAACAAAGTGTGAGAAAAAAAATAAAGACTGTCCCATCTTGACTTTCTTTATTGTAAGAGGAAACAAAGGGGAAATACTGTCAGGCTTTCAAGACTGATGTCAGCCCTTCTATGTAGGCCAGGCCAGGAAACACACCCACTAGAACTCCATTGATATAGGCTATAACAGATTGACAGTGCCCTCGCTCCCCCTTCCTCCTGTACCAAGGAGAATCAAGATGGGACAATCTTGAGTATCTTTCTCACCTTTTCTTGTTTTCCCAGACTTGGCTCATACTTTATTAACAGATGCCACCTACTTTTACCAAAGCCATCTCTGTTGCTCTAATACAGGGTTTTTCAACCAGTGGTATGGGTACCACCTGTGGTACATTGGGTGGGCAGGCAGGTGTTTTGCTCGGCTGTGGCTTGGGGGGCACTTTTTTCAGTGCCATTGTAACTTCGAACAGTCACTAAGCGAACTGTTGTAAGTCGAGGACTACCTGCACTTTATCATTTTTTTCCTTTTTTTTTTTGGGTCATCAAGTTTTTGACACCTTGCTAGGTGACTGGTGGTACTCGGATGTTGCCATATCCTAAAAGTGGTACAATGGGTGAAAAGGTTGAAAAGCCCTGCTCTAATACACCCCATCTTTGGTTTCAGCACTCACATGTTCTTTTCAACACATGAATAGGGTTAGAAAAGAAAAAGGAACACGATGCATATCAGGAAATGTAAAGTCGGATTGACCCGTCTTACCTCAGTAATTTGATGGGTGCTTTCTCTGATCAAATCTTCCCACTCTTTTCCCGACAATGAAAGCTTAAAACACTTATTCTGCAGGGCTTTCTGGAGAAGAAGACATGCCTGGGCCTGAAACAGAAATTTGGGGGGTGGGGGAGAGGGGAGGGAAAGGAGGAAGACGGTGAGATATAATATTTCTTTTCAAATAACAAGCACAGAATTAACAGGGTGGTGGTTAAAAGAGTCTTCAAAGCACGTAACCTTTATCTGCGATACCTTAAAACAAAAGAGCAACCACACAATCCAGGGAAAGGTGCAGTTTTAAAGGATTGAAGACAAAAGCCACAATTGTACTTCCTTGTTCTCCAAAATACTTTTGTTCCTTTGAATCTGATGCACTGCACAGTTCTAGAAACAGGCCGAGTTTCTCAAAATTCCAAAAAAAACCACAGTTCAAATGTAGCCACGGTTATTTAAACCCCTCTGCAACTAGGTTTTCATACTAAACTAAAACCTCTGCAGTACCTTTGCTATATTTCTGATATTTATCAAACAGGCTAAAAAAAGGCAGCCTAACTGGTCGAAGGACTGCCATGGGACACTAATTACAATATTGCTTTGCTCTGCATTTTTAAGCAAAACTGCCTCATTTATGCTAACACTACTCAGATCAAAACTCAGTAATATTTTGCACTGCATATTTCTCCAAATTTGAGCTCTTGGCTCAATATGGCTGCAGGTGGAAATGGAAAGGAAGTATGAGCAAACAAAGAAAAACCAATCTATCCAATATCTATTAACATGCCACTTACTTAAAGAAACATTAACAGAAGTAAAGCATGAGTGAGAATAAATACAATGTTTAGCAAATGGTTCTAAACCAAATAGGGAACAAGACAAAGATATGAACTGTCCCCTTGGCTTTTTAATATAATTATGGATGAATGAGATAAGGAATTGTGGAGTTCTTGATAGTCTCCAAGTTGGTTATAGATAGTCATTGACTTACAACAGCATTTAGCAACTGTTCAAAGTTACAACAGCACCAAAAAAAGTGACTTATGACCATTTTTCATAGTTACAACCTCTGCAGCATCACCATGGTCTTGTGATCAAATTTCAGACCGCTTGGCAACCGGTTCATATTTATGACTGTTGCAGTGTCCTGGGGTCACGGGATCACCTCTTGCAACCTTCTGACAAGCAAAATCAATAGGGAAGCTGGGTTCACTTAACAATCGGATAACCAACTTAACATCTGCAATGATTCACTTAACAAGTATGGCAGGAAAGCTCGTAAAATGGGGCAAATGTGACTGAAGATATGGCTCACTTAACAACAGAAATGTTGGGGTCAACTGTAAGCGTTGAGGACCACCTGTATTTGCAAGTTCAATGCTGAACTAAAGAAACTTTCTTGTGTCTTATTTGATGACTAATGTTAAGTGGTGATGGTAGAAGTATGAACTGAAATGTATTGTTGTATACAGATAATAACAAAGCTGCTGGTGGGGAACCCAAATAATTTGCAGTGAAAGGCAGATAAGGTGTAGGATGGAATGAGGCTTCCTGATCTGAAGCCTAACGCATCAAAGATCAAAATCACCGCATTTGACAAGACAAATGGGATGAACAATTGCAAATTATGCATAAATGGTAAAAAAAACAAACTAGGACAAATAGAAAACGTATCTGCATTGGTATAAAAGCAAAACCAGTACAATAGGTAGGGAAATTTTAAAACATGCAAATGTGGGAAGAAAAGCAGTAAATAGTATGATCAAACGTGTAAATGCTGTGTAGAAAAGCTTCTCGCTGCTCACTTTGTTCTATGTTGGGTGTAGCGTAGAGAAACATAAAAGTGAGAAAAGGATATTGAAGGGGAAAAAATGCTATGCGGTGACAGAAGAAAAAATACCGATAGACCTCTTGAGTTACGACTGTAATGGAGCCTGCCAATCACGGTCTTTAATTCATGACAGTTGTAAATCAGATCACCCATATGACTGACCCAATATTATGACCATCTTTGCAGTGGTTGTTAAGTGACTGCCGTGGTCATAAAGCAACTGCCACAGTGGTAAAGTTTTGCCACAAAATGGAAGTAAATGCTGGGTTTTGACAAAACCATCATAAAACGTGATCATGTGACCATAGGACACTACAAATAGGCATAAAGGGAATCAGCTGCTGAGTGCCTAAAGTGTGTGGTCACATGACCATGGAGGCAGGGAATCAGAACTTCAAATTGTAAATGACCCCAGAGAGGTCTGTCATAACTCTGAACCGTTCCTAAAGATGATTAGAGGATTGGAGGCTAAAACATATGGAAAACATTTGCAGGAACTGGGAATGTCTAGATTCTAGTCTAATGAAGAGAAGGAGTAGGGGGTGACATGATACCGGTAGCAGTGTTCTGATTTTTGAGGGGCTGCCACAAAGAAGAAGAGATCAACCTATTCTCCAAAGCGCCTGAAGGCAGGACAAGAAGCAATGGATGGAAACTAATCAAATAGAGAAGCAACCTAGAACTAAGGAGAAATTTACTGACAGAACAATTAATCAGTTGAATGACTTGCCTCCAGAAGTTGTGGCTGCTCCAACACCGGAGGTTTTTAAGAAGAGATTGGACAACATTTGTCTGAAATGATATAAGGTTTCCTGCTCCAGCATGGGGTTGGACTAGAAGACCTCCAAGATCCCTTCCAACTCAGTTATTCTGTTATTCCCAAATGTAGCAAAAGCCTGTAGGGTCCCAAATGAATGTGGATTGAATACAAAAATGAGCAGCTGTTAAGAATGAGATACTCTGCAGCAGTTTGATCATACAAATCGAGGGAATGTAGACTGAGATCTTAAGAGAAGAATGACTGGATTGGGAGGGAGGGAAAGACTGAGAAAATGTGGCTGGGTGAAGTTGATGAGATCTTTCAAAAAAAAGCCAACCATTTTGAAGAACAAAGGCCAATGTAGCGATGCACCGATATGTTGGAAACAAAGCTGGTTTCTTGGAAGTATTGAAAAGCATGGAGAAGTATTAGGAATTAATGGTGTTGGTATAAGCTAGATTTAGCCATGTTTCCTTTTCTTTTTCTTGTCTCAAGCCTTTAATTCCTTAGTCTTACTATTTCCAGCTCTTTTCAGCATTCTGCATAAGGTTGCTTACTCCAAAAATCCCTACGGGCATGAATGTAAGTAATTTGATTTAGCACAGCTTTCAGCAAATGACTAGGCTAATTAACTTATATTTATCAATTTTCCTGAACAACATTGACATATCCACCCAAAGCAGAAGCACACATACACCAACCCAGAATTCTACCCTGTTCTCTGGGAATATTTCAAAAGCAAAAGCTAAGACTTTGTACAAGTAGTCCTCAACTTACAACAGTTCGTTTAGTGGCTGTTCAAAGTTACAATGACACTGAAAAAAGTGAGTTATAACCGCTTTTCACACTTATGATCAGAATAACAGAGTTGTAAGGGACCTTGGAGGTCATCTAGTCCAACCCCCTGCTCAGGCAGGAAACCCTATACCAGACATGTCAAACTCACGACATCACGTGACGTCTCGCAACGTATCAGGACTGTTTTGCCATTGCTGGCAATGGGGTGGGTGCGGCTTCCGCGTGAAGCGTCTGACCCGTGTCGGCAGTTTGACATCCCTGCCCTATACCATTTCAGACAAATGGCTGTCCAGTCTCTTCTTAAAAATTTCCAGTGTTGGATCAGCCACAACTTCTGGAGGCAGGTTGTTCCACTGGTTAATTGTTCTCACTGTCAGGAAATTTCTCCTTAGTTCTAGGTTGCTTCTCTCCTTGATTAGTTTCCATCCGTTGCTTCTTGTCCTGCCTTCAGGTGCTTTGGAGAATAGCCTGACTCCCTGTTCTTTGTGGCAACCCCTGAGATATTGGAAGACTGCTATCATGACACCCTTAGTCCTTTGATCACTGCAGCATCTCCATGGTCATGTGATAAAAAATTCAGCTGCTTGACAACTGACTCGTATTTATGACCACTGCAGTGTCCCCGGGGGTCATGGGATCACCTTTTGTGACCTTCTGACAAGCAAAGTCAATTGGCAAGTTAGATTCACTTTCAACCGTGTTATTCGCCTAAGAACTGCAGTGATTCTTGCAATGGCAAGAAAGGTCATAAGATGGGGCAAAACTCACTTAACAACCATCTCATTTAGCAACAGAAATTTTGGGCTCTGATGTGGTTGTAACTTGAGGGCTATCTTTAATGGCCCTTATTGAACTGGTTTTCATTTTCATGATGTACTAAGTCACAGGTGGGCAATTTGGGGGGGAGATCTGGAGATGTTTAATATTCTAAAGAAGCTTGAAGGCTCCATGTTAAAAATGGTGATGGAGTAGTTCTGCCTTTTTTTTCATTCTCTTGTTAAGCTACACTACATTTGTCTTCAGGCTTACACAACATATTTCATGCATTTCCTGGTTCAACGTGGCAGAAAGTCTCACACATATTTAGAAGAGGCTCTCTGGCAGCTGAAGAGAAGTAGTTTGGGGCCAAACACACATCCAAAAGGAGTCCAAGCTTGCATTAAGTTCACATGGTCCTAATATTTCCTCTTCCACAATTGGGAGGAGAGGGTTAGCAGGCTTGGATTCGTTCCACCTCCCATCAATCCCACTAAAACAGGCTCTGTCAACTCTCCAGATCAGTGTTTCTCAACCTTGACAACTTGACGATATGTGGACTTCAACTACCCCAATTCCCCAGCCAGCACGGGAATTTTGGGAGTTGAAGTCCACACATCTTCAAGTTGCCAAGATTGAGAAACTCTGATCCAGATGTTTTGCACCACATTTTCCATCACCGCCAGCCACTGGTCAAGCTCTCTGAGGCTGATGGGAGATCAGAGTCCAAAATAGAGTGACACAGAGGAGTTAACTGTAGTTTACGGTCATGTGTGAATCTGCCTTTCTGGATGTTCATGCTGGAATCGCCATAAAAACAGGAGCAGCAAGCAAATAGGAATCTCTATGTAAACCCCCAATGTTCCATCATACTGAACAGGCAGGTTCAACCCAATTTCTCAGTTACACTTCATTATCTAACCTAGCACTCTCTTTTAGAAGATTCTTTTAAAAAATGTATTGGCA